GAAGAAGGGGAGGAGGAGGAGGAAGAGGAGGAGGAGGAGGAAGAAGGGGAGGAAGGAGAGGAGGAGGAGGAAGGGGAGGAGGAGGAAGGGGAGGAGGAGGAAGAGGAGGAGGAAGAAGGGGAGGAGGAGGAGGAAGAGGAGGAGGAAGAAGGGGAGGAGGAGGAGGAAGAGGAAGAAGAGGAAGAGGAGGAGGAGGAGAAAGTTAAATCAATAAAATGTCTGATCCTGTGAGCATGTGGGATTTTCAAACGAGGCACAGAGTTCAGGAATGATAACGCAATGATCGAATATTTACCCATTATGCTTGAGGCACAGGGTTCGATCCCTGACACCTCAGTCAGTAAACAGACAAAGTGATATGGTATGTTGTGGGTCACACGACAAGACAGGACAGAAAGCTGAGTGGAACCCAGGCCCATCCTTCCTGACACCCGTGTTACACCCTCTCCAGTTGTAACCCAGGACAGGCCCCTAAAAGGAGATGATTTGCCAATCTCAGCCTTAGAGCCTAGTGGGGTCCCCACGCCTGCCCTGGAACTTGAATCCACACCTTCCATCCCACATCCAAACTGAGCTGGAGTTGTCCACACTATGTCTGTTCCTTCCCACACCAAGGCTGAGTCACCTTCAGGTGGCCACATACAGTGTCCTTGGTACCACTGATGCTCTGGCTACCACAGGTGAGAGGACATTTCTCCTTAAATGTCTTATCCTCCTGCCTCCATCTCCTGCATGCTGGATTACAGGTCCGTTGTATTCAGGTTAGTGAGTGCTTGGTCGCAAACCCAGGGCTTCATGTACGGGAGGCAAGCACGCTCTCAACTAGGCTAGATGCTAGCCCTTTTAATTAAGTAACTAAGGAACTAATCTCGGTTTGAGATGTAGTCAAGGGTGACCTTGAACTCCTGATCATCCTGTGGCCTCAGCTTCCTAAGTGCTGGGATCTCAGGTGTGAGCCACCACCTTCAACTTCTGTTTTCACTCCTAATTTGGTCTTGGCTGCCAAATCAAAGGAGCTTTGTAAGCCACAGCTGACTCTGCCCTCCCTCGCCTAGACCCTGCTGTCGTGGCTCTACAATGCCCATCATTGTCTGAGCACCACTGAACTTGGTATCCACGGCACTGCACAGCACAGCACGCCCCTGACCGTCACCCCTGTTTCTCCTCATTGCTCAATTCAGTTCTCAGGCAAACACAGGGTCAAATTCTGACTTCCCAACCTCCTGGCTGAGTAGCCACTAGGAGCAAATGCTTTAACAATAGTTCCCATTTTGGAGGTAGTCTTAGGACTCTTACATCAATCCTAATAAAACTCTCACCTCAGAGTCAAAAGTTCAAGGTCACCCTCAGCTACAAATCAAGTCTCAAGTCAACCTGAACTCCATGAAAACCTGTTTCAAAGAAACCAGGCAAGACGGAACTGGAGAGATGGCTCAGAGGTTAAGAGCACCTACTGTTCTTGCAGAGGATCCTGGGTTCAATTCCCAGCATCCACAGGGCAGCTCACAACCCTCTGTAACTCCAGTTCCAGGAGTTCTGATACCCTTCGGCATGAGACAGGTATTTGGTGCACAGACACCCATGCCATACAGGCAAACACTTATATACACAGAATATATGTTATAAATAAAAAAAGAGGAAGCTAGCCTAGGCATAGTAGCACACACCTTTAACCTTAGCATGAGAGAGAGAGGGAGAGAGAGAGACACAGACACACAGACACACACACACAGAGAAAGAGAAAGAGAAAGAGAGAGAGAGAGAGAGAGAGAGAGAGACAGACACACAGACACACACACACAGAGAAAGAGAGAGAGAGAGAGAGAGAGAGAGAGAGACAGACACACAGACACACACACACAGAGAAAGAGAGAGAGAATAATTCCTCCTGTAAGTTGTAATTACACATGTAATTACAACTTTCATTAATAAATAAACCTTAAGGGCTGGAGAGATGGCTCAGCGGTTAAGAGCACTGACTGCTCTTCCAGAGGTCCTGAGTTCAAATCCCAGCAACCACATGGTGGCTCACAACCATCTGTAATGAGATTGGATGCCCTATTCTGGTGTGTCTGAAGACAGCTACAGTGTATTCATAAATAAAA